CCAACTTAAAATAAGAAGCTATGAAAGTTGGCTATAAGCCTCACTGAAAACTACATGCTCGACGACCCAGTTAAATTAACTCGCGTATTAACCAACGAGGATCTCACCCAGCATACCTCCTACCACTTGGAGAAATACCACCAGCCGTCCGTTGAAGATACATGTTGTCTCGCGAGGTTTACACCTTGAATATATGCCGGTACCTAGAGCATGCATACGATATCGAGTCAATGTACCGCATTCGCGAAGTTCTGAGATGACAACCTCTGACACAGCGTTGGTTGTCCAACTTCTGAACTTCCGTCGCTCATTGGTTGTCATCCCCTAGACGCGTAGACGATGGCATGGAACGCGTGAAGTGACTGCCCTAACGCCTATCGCTTTTATTGATTTTTATCGGTTTATTGGCTTTAATCCATTGCTAATTATGTTTAAGCAAGAATAGGGAAAACAGACATGCACCGAATTAGTAGTTACGAGGACGAGGATGACAATAAAACGGGTCACGACGCGGTAGATACGCTGGACCGGCACAGGAGCTAGCTCGGAGTCCGACATGTGGAGGAGAGGGTGCGTAGACGCTGCTTAAGTGGCTGTTTTCAAGAATTTAGACAACAACGAAACTCCTTGAAGTACGTGCTTCTTATAAATTGCAGGTCTTGGAACAGGTACAACGAAAACTTAAAGCATTCTATGCATTTATCAGGAGCAGTACGAAAAATCGGGACCATTTCGCAACCTTAAAGGACAAAAATAACGATGGCTTTCAAAAAACCGAGCTTCTTCAAGAATTTTCCCAAAGTTCTATACCCCGGAACCACCCCTCCAGTCCTGCTCTCTGTCACAGCTCGTCAACCAACCACTCAGTAACACAGTAGTATTTAAACCGCAGCTGGTTTTGGCAGAGTTAAATAAGCTGGATCCGCCCAAGTCACCAAGACCAGATGAGATGCCAGGTGAACTCCTACGTCAACTAGTTGAAGAATTAGCAGAACCACTCTGTGTTATCTTCCTTAAATTGCTCGAAGCTGGCAAACTTCCTGACACATGGAAGTTGGCAAATGTCGAACCTATCCACAAGGGAGGATCACAGCTATATCCCACCAACTAACGGCCGGTGAGTCTGGCATGCATTTGCTGCAAAATGATGGAAATGATAGTCAAAAAATTAATTACATCGTTCGATACATTCCGCTGTCACATAAGTTCAGCTCAGCATGGCTTCTGCGAAAAGAGGTCCTGCCTCACAAACCTGCTTACGTCACTCGAACATTTGTCAAAGGCCTTAGATAAAGGGCGTCCAGTAGATGTCATTCACTTTGACTTCAGCAAGGCGTTTGTTTGTGTTCCACGTAAACGCCTCGTTTAAAAGTTGTCATGCGTAGGGATAAGAGGCGATATTTTGACCAGGATTCCAGATTTCCTAAACGGTCTTAGACAAAAAGTCATTGGGGTGGCAACTGCTCAGAATGGGAACCTGTTAAAAGCGGAGTCCCACGACGATCAGTTCTTGGGCCGTTTTCATTTATTATCTATATAAACGATCCAATACGGGAGGTAAAATCGGACATAGCGCTCTTTGCAGACGATCTTACACTTTGGAGGGTGACAAAGGATGAAAAAGACGCCAAGATACTACAAGCGGGCGTAGAGAATTTGCACTCATGGAGCGGGAAATGGTACATGAAATTCAACGTCAAAAATGTGTAGTAATGCACATAGTATCAGCAAGGTGAAAAACAAATGCACCCTTAGGACATTATGTTCTGCACAATCAACTACTTAAAAGCATAGATGTACAAAAAGATCTCGGTGCATTCATTTAAGACGATCTAAACGTCACTACGCAGTGGTCTAAATTCCAGGTGCGGACAATGTCAGTCATGAGCGCAATACGAAGAACGTTTATTGATTTAAATGCATACGTCTTTGGGAAGGTATATGGGGCATTTGTGCGGCTACACCTGGAATATGCGATACAGGCTTGGCGGCCGTGGCTTCGGGAGGATATAGATAGTCTTGAAGATGTACAGCGAAGTGCTATAAAGGCTGTTCATGAACTCAGACATTTTACGTACGAGTAGCGTCCGGCGGCCTTGAACCTCTATCTCCTCCATTGCAGGCAGGACAGAGGTGACCTCACAGCAACGTTTCAGTTGCTAAGAGGACTTAACCTGGATGTCGACTGGAAAGCTCTTTTTGAAATGGCACCAGAGACGGCACGATCACCAGCTTAAAAAGAAACTGTCACACAAGTCAACGTCCCTCCTTTTTCTCGCAGAGAGTCATTCGCCAATAAAATTCTTTGCCGACGCATGTTGTTAATTTCTTTACCGTGAGTGTGTTCAAGAGACATCTGGATGATCATCTGTGAAAAGGCAACCCCAGCTCCCCATGCCTAATCTACTGGATTACTGAAATGACTATAAATATGCTACTAACACGATTTCAACAGCTCCCTTTGTGTGCATTGGATTTGCGTGTATGAAGCCGTCTGTCCCGGCAATGTCTCGTTTTTTCCTACTTTTATCCCGAGTAAAGCCTACGCCGACTGGTTCTCTTGTCCCCAGTCTACCGGAGAGTCAAAATGGAGATGGGTAAGCTCAATCAAAGATTGCCAACTGGATGAATAACTGTCTGCCTGAGACCCCGAGGCTGCGACTAATCGTCCTAAATGATGGAGAGACAGAGACCTAGCGCGGTTTCGAGCTAGATAGATTTCCCAGTAAAGATTCTAATTCAAACACGTACAAAGGGTTCGTTGAAATTTCGTGTCTGATTCAGACAGGTTGTCCGCCTACTAATGTCAGGAGTTGTTAATTTGATGTTTCTTTTCTAGTTATTACCTAACAAATTATCGTTCAGGTGAGTAGTTGCCGTGAGAACGCAACCTTACTGAAGGACAAGTGGAGGTCGAATCACTAAATGACGCGAAAAAACATGGGATAGGTGCCAATTCCAATTAGCTAAGCGTTAATAGTTCGCCCCAAAGCAGACAAATATTCATGGATGAATCTGAGAGGAGAAATGGCGGTTGAATTAGGAAGGCAACTAGCAACGCCGGGGGGGGGCACTCGAGTACCGGAAAAATGCTTGATGGGAAACCGCACACAATCGTGAATGTATTCAAGAGGCATCTGGATAATCACCTGTTAAAAGGCAACCCGAAATCCCATGCCCAATCTAGCGGATTACTGAAGTGACTATAAATATACTACTAACAAGATTTCAACAGGTCCTTTTGTGTGCATTGGATTTGGCTTGTATGAAAATTTTCACAGTGCGAATGCGATGAACGATTTTTTGCCGTTATTTCACAACTGTCGTGCCTTTTTTGCATTTGTGCTCCATTATTGGATTTATGCATTCCGCACACTAAAAGTAAACACACAGTTTTTGCAATTTAACTATTTGCGTTCACACCCGTCCCGTTTAAATGGAGTTTTCAGGGCTTCTATCATTTACTCAAACTATACTGACTGAAGTTTACTATCATTATAAACTTACTCATGCGCAGGTGATGCACACGGTGAACATCATTCCTAGCGTGGTGTACACTTAGCTATTGACAGTTTCCCCGGTTATAGGAAATCAAAGGCCGTAATATGTCCATTTTTGGAAATACTAGCGCGGCCATTACTCGCCACGATGGCGTCGGCGCGGATTTGCGCGTAGGAAGCCGTCTGTCTCGGCAACCTCTCGTTTTTTCTACTTTTATCCCAAGTAAAGCCTACGCCGACTGGTCCTCTTTTCGCCCTTCTATCGGAGAGTCAAAATGGAGATGGTTAAGATCAATCAAAGATTGCCAACTGGATGGACAACTGTCTGTCTGGGACCCCGAGGCTGCGACTAATCGCCCTAAATGATGGAGAGAGACCTAGCGCGGTCTCGAGATAGACAGATTTTCCGGTAAAGGGTTCATTGAAATTTCGGGTCTGAAGCAGACAAGTTATACCTCCCCCCACAGTTATCGGCCTACTAATGTCAGAAGTTCGTAGTTCGATGTTTATTTTTTTTAGTTATTACCCACCAAACTATCGTTCAGGCGTGTAGTTGCCGTAAGAACGCAACCTTAATAAAGGAAAAATGCAGGGCGAATCGTTAAATGACGCGTATAAAAATGGGATACGTGCCAATCCCAATTGGCTAAGTGTCAGTAGTCCGCACCAAAGCAGACAAATATTCATGGATGAATCTGAGAGGAGAAATGGCGGTTGGATTTGGAAGGCAACCAGAAATGCCGGGGGATACTCGAGTACCGAAAACAAATGCTTGGTGGGAACTCCCATACAATCGCATATCCAGGCAGAAAGCAGGGCGAAGTTCTGAAGCCGAGTCGCCACTCTTCCCTATCAGTCATTTGCAAAAAATTATTTTTATAAAAAATTCAGGAAACTGATCCATCGGTCATCAGAGACACGGATTCTTCTTTTCTTTATCCGAACCAATCAATTGCGAGGTCTACTGACTACGTCTACTTCACGGAGACAATAAAATTTTCGCGTTAACTGCTCAACGGAGCGGCAAGAAAGTCCGAAATGTTCGACCAGATTGGACCTTGTGCATTGGTTTTTACTGAAAAGTTTATGGATTTTAGAATATGAGCGCGCTCTTCCTCCCTTTCTCTGTTACGCTCGTATCTAGCCTAAATAATAAGAGCACACTCGAGAATGAATCGACCTGGTGGGGAATTGTTCACGCAGGCATTTCCTGATCAGTCTCCAGAGGGAAAAAGCGGAGGGCGAAGACACGGCTTTCATCAGTAATATCCGTTGCTAGAAAAAAACATGTGGAGTCAGAGAATAAAGTATTCGATAATTCATATTTAGAACCTGAGGTATTTCTTCTGAGAATACACAAGTTACCACTTTTAATTAAAAACATCAAGCCACAAAGCAAAAAGGCGACAAATACATGCGAGCAAAAGATTGTCATGCAATTGTCTAAGTAGAAAAAGTATAGCGATTAGATCATCCATTACAAAGCCTGAGAGGTCGGGTTTAGTAACCATCGAGGTAGTCGGGTTGGATCAAAGGGAGGCGTTTGTGTTGACGACTACTCTGATCGAGAGTGCGACGCTTAGCTAACACACGGGACTCTGGAAGGACAAGAGCTTCTGAGAGTTCATCCTGAGAAGTGCCCAGTAAGCGGGCGATTGTCACGAGACTGGCGTAAAAGGCTCCACGAACCGCGCCATGACGCAGAAGCCAATTCGTGGGGATGCCAGCCGAGGCAGTTGTCGATCTAGCGACCGTCACACGGCCTACCCGACGCGAAATCGCCAAACAGAGGTCGATTGTGTGGAGGAGTCGGGAGGATTTGGGATAACCTCCGACACACCGGAGGTAGTATGCATACAGGAAGAGTGGTTGGCCCGCGGTTGGAAGCTGAAGACTGAGCAAACAAGTCTGATTAAGATCTTGCTGGAATAAATCCATGAGCAGGCACCCAAAAGAACTTGTGGTGGTAGGGGACATTATAGTTACAAATAATTGATGGAACTGCAGTGCAATTGTAAATGGGCAAGCTTTCAGTTAGCTTAGGTCAATCTTTTTTAAATCAGTCAGTTACCATAACTCAACCACAGCTGAGAACGAACGGTGATGCAGATTATAATCGATGAATTCCTGAAACGCGGTTATTCATGCAAACGAATGCGTAAGGATGATGTATATAGCTCTCCCCTAGCCCTTATGCTCAACACGCGCCTACTTATTTCATTTAAGTAGGCATGTTATATTCGGGTTAAGGTGTCGACGAAGAATACGATTGGTTTTGTGACAGATTTAAGATTAGGGATTATAGTTAGGGTTATAATTAAGGTTACGTCTGCTTTCTGCATATCGTCCTAGCCGATCTGGCCATAACTAACCAATAATCACGGATTNNNNTTCGTCTTTGTCCGCGACCGATGCATGTCGGAAATGGAGATATGGACCCCCCTACTACGGGTGGCCTCTTTCTGTATTCTAAGCGGTTACCTACCCCGTGTCCTAGCCTTGATCCCAATCCTAACACTAACTCTCCAATACGGCGGTCCATAGTCCCACCTCATGAGGTCGCCACTCCTCGGGAACGAAATCACCGTTGGCGCCTACACCTTCTCAAGTGTAAACTCCGAAGACGCCGGGAACAAGTCCCACAATGACCTTTATCTCCTCCTAGCAACTGGCTGTCCAAAATGTCAGCATCCGTACCGATCATGCTGCCTGGGGGGAGGGAGCGCGGTTGGTAGCCGTGGCAGCGACAGTCGCAACAGCGATGACCCTTTCCTCTTGCAGGCTTGTGCGGAACACGACCTTCGCCTGATCTGTCTCCCAATGCGAGAGAAGACGACGTAGATGCGCCCTTGCTGGAGGCGTGGGCAGTGCGGAGGGGGATTCACCGCCCAGCGAAAGGCGCCAACTGAAACTACACAGCCGATCAAAATGTGAGTTAACATCAGGCTGAGCTTCGGTTAAATTTTAGTAGTTGCATGAACTCCAAACCCTGCAAACCCTGACGGCGCATACCAATGCCAAAACCTAGCAGCGGAGGCCGCGGGACATCATTCATATCACCGCGATGGAAGCCCTCAGCACGAGGATTTGGTTTGAGGACAATGACGAAAAAATCAGCGTCCTCTTCGCAGAGAAACACATTCATATACTAACGACGGCAGTAAAGCAGGAGTCGTGGGAGATCCCAAACTACTTTCAGGCTCACAAAGTTGAGAAAACCCCGGGATATGGCGCCCGTGATGAGATGAGGAATTTCTTCGCTGCCATAAGAGCAGTTTACGGTCCGCAAGTATTGGGAGCACCTACACCCCCAAAAACCAGAGCCAACCAATCACTGGAGACCACGTGCGTTTGCTCTCTCTACAGCGCTGTCATCTTAATCAGGCGCCCCTCCATTGGCCACTCCCCTCTTCCCCAAGGTCATTGGGCCGAATGCCGGCGAACCACAGTAGGGTGGTATAAGTATGCGTCACCCTTCAGCTAGTCGCGACTTGCAGTGTTTTTCTAGTACACGTTCCGTGGCCGGCCGTGTTTTCTTTGTCTGTTGCTTTGACATTGGGGACAAGGGTCGAGTGCGTATACGCTCCAGGGGAGTTCAAGTACCAGGCGGATCACAATAGCAAGCCAGGATTGAGCGACGATCCTGACGGAGATGTCATAGATCCTGGAACGCTGGGTCGTGAGCCCTCAGGACGTCCTCAACCACCCGTCCGCAATATGCAAAGGACACATCACCCGACTACCCCAAGTGGATACCAACGACGACCTCAGCGTCCGACCAGAGCAGTGCAACAACTGCCCAGCGGAAAGACATCGGAAGTAGACGCACTTCCAGTCAAAGCCAACAAGTACGATTGGCTACAAATCTTGAAAAAGCCTACCTCGATAGCCCATGAGATGTGGCGACAAAAACGGGACTCCAAGGTTGCAACCGTTGTGCACATCTACAAACGTCGTCGCTCTCCGCTGCAACAGAACGCAGTGTCGCCTGAGGCCCGCCGCCTTCTCAGGAAGAAGCCGTGGATGCAGTACGCAGACTGCAACCCAAAAGGCAACCGAAAAAGACGATATTCCACCGAAGCTTACAAGTCTTGTCTCAGCACACTGACACCCTGAATCCATGAAATAATCGAGCAAGCGCGGAGAGATGAGATCTGATTGCATTTTGATTTCCTCAGAAATAAACGGCTAACTTGGGGTAGATCAGTTTGAACTAAGGTCGATAGCCGTAGACCGAAATTTGATGTATGAATACTCGGGCCGATTTCCATCAGCCACAGTGGATTGGCAGCTAGTAGGTCAGAAGGTACCATACTAACAGTACAGGTACTAGCTAAAAGCCCAGACACGCCTGTTTCGCCGATATTCTGCCGCTGCATGGCACAGCTCCGAGGGCTTTGGTTCTTCAGAGAGTCCCACAGCATTCCCTGTGTGCTTTCTGCTAGATACTCCAGCTTAGGAATTGTTGCTTTTTAATTTTCTCAGAAATTAACGGCTAACTTGTGGTAGGTCAGTCTGAACTGGTCGTAGACCGAAATTTGATGCATGAACACTTGCGGAATGCTGGGGAACCCACTGATGAGCCGAAGCCCTCGCAACTGTGCCATGCGGAGGCAGAATATCGACGAAACGCACGTGTCTGGGCTTTTTAGCTAATAGCTGTGCCGCTAGCATGGTATCCTGCAACCCAAGATGGGATCTTATTTAATGACTGCGGTTTTTCCATTCTTGCGTCTGCAGCAAAGATCTTTGATATCGTCACCCCCAGGCGGGCTCAGACTCCTGCGTGGAACCCAACCAATTGGGGTTCCGAACTAAGTGTGCGCGTGCCAACCGAATATCTACACTGCGGCGCATTCTGGGACTCCACCGTGACTACGAACAACAAGGTGTTGCCAGCGTTACTGACTTTGTTCAAGCCTTCAAATCCGTTGGACGGCGTGCTGACAAGACTCCTTGTCACGATCAGGGTCCATAATCGTTCCACTATCGTGGTGCACAATAATTTCACCTAACTGTTTAGTATTTAGTTTAATTTCGACAAGATTGTATCCCGTGACAAAAGTTGCATAGGTGCAAGTCGGTAAGCGTAGGCGATGGGTTGGAGACGATAATAAATTTAATTAAACTTTTTACTGAAATATAGCAAGTAGTGGTTCCCAATAATATCACTCGACTGTGCAGCATTTAGTTTAATTTCAACAAGATTGCATCCTTCTTGACCGGACTCATAGAGGGACGCTGTGCAGCTATGAAAATGACGAGTTTTTACCAGGATGATGGCTGAACGATGTCGACTACGAGGATGACATGGTCCGGCTGGCGTCAAGTCCTGTAACTGACTGAATGTGCTGTCCCCAACGAATGACTTGACAGTTTGACCGTCGGTCTCAATGATGCCAACCGTATGCTCCGCAGAAGGGTAGGGGGCAGGGATGGTGACTTGCGTTTGGATTAGATTATAGTGACAGTAGACTTGCAGGTCAGATGTGCTTATGTAGCCGCACCTGGCAAACGCCAGTCACTGATGATAATAAGGGCTTCTACAGATGGGGCCGGGGAACCCACAGGCGACGAGGTCAGGTAATTGTACGCAAAAGAAAAACTATTGCGAATGCGCAGTTGTACTTTGAGTGTTTGAGAAGTGGTTGCCCTAACCCTAACTCCTAAGCCTAACCGTAAGCCCTGACCTTAACTCCTAGCCACTCATCCCAATCCAGACCCTTAACCGCAGTCTTAAACCCTAACCCTGAAACATTCAACGCGAAAGTTAGAAGGAGACGACAGGCCGAAAGTCAAGAAAGACCATCGGCCGAAAAAGGTAGACACGGCAGCAAGGAAACAAGGTCGCCACCAGAACGCACACCGCAACCTCATGCCAACGTAACCCACACCAGATCAAAGTAAATAAGTTGGTCAACAGTATTGTGTCCATCAGGTGCGGCTACATAATCACATCCTACCGACTTGCGCCGCATCTACCGCACCCGCTCATCCTCCACCAAATGCACTTGGCGTTATGACAGAGTGCAGGTGACAGGAAACAGCCACATAGGCGTACAACCACACCCCTTGGTTTACAGCGCACAACTGACCAGGATGCTGAAGGACGCGACGGCTTGGATCGCAGCTGAGTGGTAGGGTCATAAGGGCCACATTAAGCGGGAGACATCCGTCTTCTGTTGGCGTCAGGAGTTGCCGTCTGTTCGCATGTAGGAGGCGAACGGAGACTGGCGCTGTTTGATGAGAGTCGTCTGAGAATTACCTTTCCAGTAAAGTACATCGACTTAATTTCGAATGAGATAGTTCGCACTTGCTGCGACAACATCACAAAGATAACTCAGTACGTCGAAGAAAGATCAATCAAGTGATTTTCACGTGCTCATCGTCGACTGGAGCGTGAGCTCAAGGTTGCAGCCGCCGATTCGACGTCGCTGCCAAGCGGTATAGCTGGACAATTTCCTATGCTAATACGTGTTTTTATTGGAAAGAGAGTAGGTAACTCTCGACAGTTTTACTAAACAGAGCTTGCCGCACTTGAAAATTGATTTCCTGTCCCATGCTAACCGTGCGAATCCAAATGACTAACACAGATGTTTTATCGATCTTTAGAAATCATATTAGCAGATCTGTGCGACACAGTCTTTATTAGTTCTTTTGTTTTTAATTTTTTTGAAGTTGTACTTAATCAGCATACAGTACGTGACCTATCTCATGAAATCTGATAATGAAACTAATGCGATAATTTCTGGACGTCTTTAATGTTGCGAATTTGGTTCGCTCATCCACTTCCTTCAATAAACTGTCATTTTCTTATGCAGAAATTGTGTTTACGTGATTATATAAAGCAAAATATCAGTAAATTTTAGCGAAAATAGACGTTGGAATACATTCGTGCAATTTCTTATGTTGATACATGTCATAAATTCCGGTTACGCATCTGAGCATCCAGCATCCCCTCTTGAACCCCATCTCATTTAATTCAAACGAGTCAAGAATACCACGAATTTCTGGAAAACCCCCTTGGAATCTACACTCAGAATGTAGGCAGTTGACAAACCGTCATATATGAAATCACACTAATTATTAAACGATATTTAGATGTAAACTTCACTGGAACACTATTATTAGACGTTATTTTATTTCTACCTTCATATTTATTACGTTTTTGGTATGCGAGTACATTCTATACATTTAAAAACGAAGTTATCTAAATTATAGCCATTTCTGACGTTTTCGGGATATTGCGCTTTCGCAAAAAAGTCGGCATTTCTAAACAACGCTACACTACCTTTAATATTTCTTTTATGTTTTCAATTAGCATAGACATTGGACTCATTAAATGGTGTCGGTTTGCGAGTGGTTGGCAATTATTCGTAAATTTGGACATCTTTCATGAGTTAGGTTACCAACTGTAGGCTCGCCAAATAGTCTTCTGAATACTGCAATGAGAATTTTCGTAAGTTTCCGCCATTACCCTCCAGGACAGGAACACACTACATACACCCGTTGGGCTTCTTGCCAGTCAGACCGATAGAGGCGCCCCAACGCACTAAAAACAATATAATATTTAACGATTCCAGGGAAGATTTTTCGCGGCACAGAGTTCATCAGCTTGGCTAACGACATTAGATACTGTCTGCTTTAATTCCTCTGCTTCGGCTAGACTAGGGAGCGGTTCTAGTTGGTCTTTAAACACTCACCTGTATGCGACGTAAACCAGACGAATTGCGTTGAATAAGGTCCAGCGTCTCTTCCAGACTGGGATGCAGCCGATGAATGTCCACCTCCCCGGACACGGCCGGTGCTGCGATGATATCCGAGTCCTCCAGGGGTTGGAGTTGGTCGTCCGCGTGACCAGGCCCGATCGGCACGATGACTGTGACTGAATCTTCCACTAGGTGAGCAACTGGCAGACCTAGAAGGGGTTCCAGACGTGGAATGTCCTCGAAGTTCATTATCTGCTCCAGAAGAGAACAAGTCCGCAAAGTCTCAAGTTGTGGACGTCAGTGAAACAATGACATATGAGCGGCAAATGACGTGAGAACAAGCACAAAAGAGTCACTTTGACCGTCACGAACGACGATGGTGGTCAGACAGTGCGAGGACGATCGGAGGTGAGATCGGGTGCACGGGGTGACACAAACAACGTGTTCTGCCCAAAATGAACAAAGAGATGGTTCAGATTTCATCTAAGTGAGATTGGCGCATCGGACGCATTACGAGGAAGCCGACCATCCCGTGAGAATCGGAATTATTCTCTCAGTTGACAGCTTTCAAAGCCGAGACTTTTAACTCGTCGTGATAGATTCCCGTCCGTCAGATCGTCTACAGCGAAGAGCCTGCCATGTAGACAGAGTCCTCCGAGTCAACTTCACACATTCTCTCCCAGGTCGATTATCTGATGCTGGAATTGGATGCAAGAATTTTGCGCGACGCGAGTCTGCACATAGGCGTGACCCCATCTCTCACATGTGCTGCACCTGTTACTAAGATGTGCGGGTTCTGTGCGGAGCCGTTGGCGCGCGCCGTGCCTCCAACTGGATCCTGATCCAGTTCAGTGTGTCGCGCGCCTCGCACGTTGTTGGGCACGATACGCACACATTTAGGTCAGTCAGTATATTTTAAGGGTAATAGGCAATGCCTTTGAAAACCCTATTGAAAACGGTACATGCAATATCTAACTGTAAATAAACATGGTACTAAAATGTTGGCAGTAATATATACACTTAACAGAATACGACCAGTACATTTTTACCGCCGAAATCATCAGCGGCTACTCCTTTCGGTGAGCTCAGCGAAGGTGGCCTGCGCGTGAAATAGTTAAGAGCAGGGCAAGCTTGCGCAGCATCTATCGCACCCTGTCTTCCCGCTGAAAAGAATAAGACGATTGTCTGAGTCTGTAAAACATCGGTGGATGAGATCTGATGGGGTGGCTGGTGAAAACGAATGATCAACCTAGGCACGTCATACAGGATTCAATTCCTGTTTCATGTGCACCAGGTTACATGAGCACAGCAAGTAGAACCTACTGTAGGCGATTTGCTGAAAACAAAAGTGGTAATAAGCAAGACAAGACGACAGATCACTTAAAGCTCCATAGCATGGCTGGTGAAACTTACAAACAAAAGTGAATGTCCGCCACATTCGACAGTCGATTTTGACAATGTCTACGTTGTGTCCCACAGTCGTGAGGGGGTGGGTGCATTAATCTGCAGTGACAATGGACTTGCACACGGCTACCGCACTCTCCCCTCCCAACCTCCCAAGCCCTGACAAGGTCAAGAAGACAGGAGGGGAGATTTGGCGCCAACGGGTAGCGCGGAGTCTGAATCGAGGCGTGTCGCCACACCTCCCTGTGTGTGTGTGGCATTTGTTTTCGGTATGCATCGTCAGTAACGGCTGCAAATCTGGCCCCCTCGTTAGTTCAGAGCATATACTACATGGTGGCTTAAGGGTCACACGCACGCACGCACGCACGCACGCACGCACGCACGCACGCACGACAGTTTGACCATCGCACGCGCGAGTGTTTATCATGTGATCCACGATGTGGGGGGCAAAGAACGTGAATTAGTTTTTTAGACGAAGATTGAGAAAACGTGGTTGACAGTATTTAACGGCCCGCCTACGCTTGCCATACGCAGTAGGTGGGTTAGCTCATGAAATGTCAACCGAAATTCCGAAATGCGTCTTCGTTTTGAAAAGATTAATTAAGTAGTGTTGTAACAGTAGTCGGCCTGCAACATAATTCTATACTAATTCAGTTACTGCAGGATGCCGGCTTTCGAATGAACTTCCTGCCGGATGTATGCAAAAACCACACCCTGTAAAAAATGACTAGGTAAGTGGCATGAATTTTTATCATTGATTTTCCATGCCCTAAAAGTCCAACTTTACTTCATGGGAAACGTGCATAAAAATATTCATTCTTTTGATCATTCAGTAGATAATTACGTCTTCTTCTAATTTTATACTAAAAGGTAGGGTATGATTCGATTTTCAGGAACTTTTTAAAGTCCCGAATAATTTTGAACGCGCTTTACCGTTACAATTGGAGTCAGGGTTTCCAAACTACAAGCCCTATATTTTCCGCGTACGGAAAACCACACATTTCTCTACGGTAATAAAAGGGACCATATGGGATTTATAAAATTTGGCAGTGGATTTGATCCATATTGTTAACTTTACAAATCGCATTGGTAAGTGCAGAAACATGACGATTTACGAACGGAAATTTAACGGTATTTAAAAGTCCCACAATTCGAATCTTTTTTGAAAACCGAATTATTTTCATCCTTCGAGTATAAAATTTGAAGAAGACGTAATTATCTACTGAATGAGCAAAAGAATGAATATTTTTATGCACGTTTCCCATGACATATAATTGGACTTTTAGTAGCATCGAAAATCAATGAGAAAAATTCGTGCCACATAAGTAGTCATTTTTTACAGAGTGTAGTTTTGGTATGCAACCGGAAGGAAGTTCATTTGAAAGCCGGCATCCTGAGGTAGCTAAGATATTATAGAAATATGTCGCAGGCTGAGTAGTTTTACAACCCTACTTAATTAATCTTTTCAAAAGGAAAATAGATTTTGTAAGTAGTCACTTTTTACAGATTATAGTTTTTGCATGCAGCCGGAAGGAAGTTTGTTTAAAAGCCGGCATCCTGAGTTAACTTAAATATTATAGAAGTATGTTGCAGGCTGACTAGTTTTACGACCCTACTTAATTAATTTTTTCGAAATGCAAACGCACTTCGGAATTTCGGTTGACATTTCATGATTTAGCCCACCTACTGTACGACATGGCCCCAGCACGACACAATCATCGAGAGGGGGATGGAATGTTTGCAGCCTGACTCCCTGTCCTGAGAAGGGCAACCTCCCAGGTCTCGAAAAACCGACGTAAAAGCCGACGCAAACTGCTGCTCAGATTTATGGGGCCGGTCTGCGCGTGCCACACACGATGAACCAATCAGAGGCGCTCTAACATATCCATTTGGAGGCACGAACCTCCGGGAGGCGGTCTCGAAGGCAGACACAGGTCCATCTGGGTGAAAAAGCAGTCAGGTTTGCCCAGAGGCGATGGGCTGCAGTTGGAGTGCCCCATTCGACCCCCTTGGTCAGGCGATGTGCCCCCAGAACCAGTTCATTGCCGCCGGTGACAGCGACCAGGTAGAGTCCCATCTGGAAGCGTGGGTGGACGCGAACGGCAGGGGCCAGCGAGCCGGAACGTTCGGCAGCTTCGAGTTTCTCGGTGCACGAGGATGTCAGACCCATCACTAAGTCTACCTAGAATAAAGAAATGTGGACAAACAGGAGGGCGTTAAACATCAGAAAAACGTAAAGGACAGATCAAGCAGGCAGATCCCAAGGCAGAATTGCGCAGAAAAAGTTTTGGAAGAAAATCTAAGGCAGGCAATCGCAAGTGTTCTGTCTAAAAAGTTCCCTTTTCGGCAGTCAAGAACGGAGCACCTCCCCGAGGTAATTCCTGGCTTATCTTGACCCGAAAGACTGCCTCCTGTGACAGCGGTGTAAGAGCGTCGCTCTCAATCCTGTGACCTCACTTTGGTATGGTCTCAGTATTCAGGAAGCTACCTTTGGACGCCTGCGACGGCGAGGGAAGCAGGTCAGGACTTACGTAGCACCGTTGCTACCACACCTATCATTATCCTCTGGCAACATGAGGTGAATACGACTGGAAATGGATACAGGCGCAGGAACCGACATAGACTTTCGTCTACGCGTGTGATGCGTGTCCCGTGTCGAGCACTCAGTGTACCAGACTTCCCTGACTGGCTGGGTGGAGTTGACGCAGTAGGAGGGGATCATGACAGTCTTACTCCCATGCCTGTTACCATGCTAAGTAGGCGTGTCGGGAGTACCACACAGGGACGGTCTCACTCTCCTATGCAGCACTAGCGATTCTGAGTAAAACAGGCTGCAGATGACAACAGTTGCAGTAACAGGCATACCCGGAAGCCACTGATCTGCATTCCTGTGTTATCGAGCGCTGACAGAGAAGGGTTTATGTCCGATCTGGCGTATTAGTTGATATGGACTTGGAAGACGGCCAGGGTTTGAAGCAGCCGCCGTCAGTAAAACAGTTATTGCAGGTTGATTAGTGTTCCTGTCCGCATGGATTGACCAAGGTTTGCCTGTGGGCTTCAAGTGTCACATGTTTAAGGATTAAGTTCGTAGATGGCACCGTGAAAGAGGGGGGCGACAGAGAATGTGGGTAAATTGATGTAGAACTTTTTCGGGCTTATTCTGTCTCCTTTCAACCAACCATAACGCTGACCACCAACTGGGTCCAGAAAAAAAACATGTGCTGGTATCCCTCTGTCTTTTATGTTCTATCATTTCAGATTTAAAGCATGCTTTCTTAAGGGAGTCAATGGATCGGTTTGAGTCCACTCCTGATCAAATATCCGATCTGCAGCGACAGAATGACAAATGGCGAGACACTGATGAACCTAAGTTCTATGAACTGCTTATGACCCATCTGGTAGACCTCGTCTGCGGACCATCCGTGCCGTGTATGCGAACGCATGTCTGTGTTTCTGGTCGCAGCTAATGATCATGGTTATGATTGATTGAATAAAGGCAGAATAAGCCCGGAGCAGTACTGTATCAATCTACCCGCATTCTCTGTCGTCCCTCCTCGCTGCTATTATGACTTGGCCGAATTCGGCCTGGTAATTGATTGTCAGTTCGTGAACTTCGTCATTCATATGGAGCTTGTTTACTTCGGGAAGTCGATAGATTGGTGTTTGGTCATTTCTGGCTGAATCCAACTGTAGTTTCGGCTGCAACAAAGAAGGATGCCCACAAGATATTGTCGTATCTCAGAGCATTTAAAGCCCCAGGTGATTGGGCGGTTGAAGTCTAACGTCATTGAACAATTGAAATCTGACATCCTCCTTAACTGGGGCTCGCGGCTCGCCTCTGTCGACTGAAATCAGGGAGCGTGGCTTTTACCGATCTGTTCTGACCACAGAACAGAACGTCATCGTGTTTTGGGGCAGGATAGGACTGAAATGGGAAATTTGAGGGTCAAACTGTTCAGATATTCCGCTCTAATCGTTGTTTGAGCCCTGAGGAACAGGGTGCGTTAAAGTTATCTATCGACTGGCGCTCTTCGCTCGGGCGGTCGAATGATGTCACCGGTTATCGTTTGGTTGTTCAAAGAGTTAAGAAAATTGACAAGATGGTCCTCCAGTACACGACACCTGTCTAAAGAATGCGGACACCTGCCTTTACAGAATTCTAGTCAAAAAAGTGGTGTGTTGAGAACGGATGCTAGCAAGCATGCTCATTCGTCTACAAAGCGACAGAACCGTCAAACAATTGCAGCTGGGTGAACGATCACGTGACCGATGAATCGGTAGTCGTGGCGGGTTGGTACATTGCCAGACACGAGCGCTGAAAACAACTGCGAAAAATAAAAACCGACTAACTGGGTGCACTAAAAGTACAGTTGTGAAGAACATCACATATGGGGGTTAAACGAAAACCCCGAGCGCGCTTCGTAAGTTTTTAAAATCACTGGTTCTCCAAGTCCACCAAATCCACCCTTCATGAGTTGTCGTGGGGGTTTTAAAATGCGCTAGCTTACCTAAGAAGGACGAGTAGTCAAGTACGATTCACTGAGGTGAAAAGCAGGATTAGGCGGATAGTATGGAGCCGCTGTCTGCCTTCCTTAAATGTGTTCAAGTGAACAGGCGTCATTCCACCGAGCGCGTTATGCAGCGATTTAAGGTTGATAGGTACGAAGACAGTGAAGTTGAATTCCTAGACCACTCTTCACAGAAAAGGTAGGAAGAGCTACTTCCTACATGGTGAGAGTATTGATTAACCACAAGATTGTCTTCTCACAAGAGTCATTCGCCGCTGACTAAACGTTCGTCGGTCAAACCCACACAACAGTGTGATCAGGTCCCATCACGACATCTGAAAACTCGCCGGGGACGCGATACCACACACGCAACCTGTGAAAAAAGTGTGTCCAGGCTCTTTATTGAGGAAGCAGGCGCGGATAAAAACCGCAATTGCACGCGCTGCGCGTAAAGGAGGCCTAGCCATTGGCTACTTCGCGCCTCCCCGAATAACGGATGGTTGAATTGTCTTCAGCGAAGGTCAGCTGCGAAATCAGCGTGCGTACAGCGAGCGTACTTTCAACCCCTGTCATCGTCGAGGCCTTTGATCACCCTTGTCGTTATAACCATCACGTTGCATGGTTACGCTGGCTTACTGTGCAATACTGCTCGGAAACTGCAGAACGTCTTGCTGGCGTCCACGGAGAGCCAGTAGTCAAATGGTCTTCGGAGAAGGTTAGATAGGAAAAGGGCGGGTTCTCAGGCCCGAAAAATAGACAGCTGCGGATCGACAGCGGGGTGGCGGGATCTGGCACACTGGGTGCCTCATAAAATACCGCAAACCTTGACAATAGCGGCATTGTGACGTGGCGACTATGAGCCATCGTCAAAAAATTTCTTGTCATCGCCTCTATGCCATTAGGTTCTTGATCTAAAGGGATAGGGGAGAAAACCTCAAGCAAACAATCTCAACAGCTGTTGGGGTCCACCTGTACTCAACATTCCCGAGAAACCTCGTGAAAGAGACCGCCTACGTCGGGTATGATCACGGCTGAATAAAACACAAGCACTGTTAAATGCCATCTGTTCTCTGATAAGCGAATCTTTCTTTGCGAAAAGCTACCGAATAATTCTAGAATGCCGATTTACAAGTTGTTTAAGGGGTTCCTCACTCACCACGGTGAGGACGATCCGGTAGTGGGATATATTTGTTTATATATAATATATGAAATTGGAGACAATCGTTCCCGTCCTCGCCAATTTGCGACAACGTTGTTCTCCTCCATACATTCCTGGGACTCGCACACACCCTCAGATCTAAACATTTAGATTAGGTAACCATACCCTCCGGAAGAGTCATTAACAAAATCCTGTGCATGTGTTGGAACTTAATGTTCAGTTTGTGATTTTTTGGGTCAACCCCGAAATTATAAGAAACGATGGAGACGAAAGCACTCAACTTCTGTTGACTAACTTTGCAATGCCCATGTTCAAACGAGTAGTGCTATTAGTAGTAGTAATAGTAGTAGTATAATTTCGATCGTTTTTGGTAAATGATCACCAGGCATGGAAGTGAAGTTAAGAATTTCGTAGGCTCGGTCCCGAAATTGTCACCAACATTTTAATCGAAGACAATCAGCTCCCGTGAAATAACTAAACAATACCCATTTTACAAGGGTTTCCCCGTACTCCCAACATACAGTAGACATGTCGTCTCATGAAATGTTAACAGAAATTCCGCAATGAGTCTTCATTTCGAAAAGACTACTTAATTAAGGTTGCCACGTTAGTTTTCTTGTCGCGTAATGCCAAGATGCGACATCACATCTTCGAACGAGCTCCTCATCAGCCGCCTGTGAAAATTGTGTTCCGCAAGAAAATGGTTACTTAAGTAAAATGAACTTTCCTCAATGATCTTCAATGCTCTTATAAATTCAAATATATTCTATAGAAAAAATGCATGAAAATATTCCTTCTTTTACTCATTTGGTGGACAAGTACATCTTCAGATGTGATAATTGACGAAAGAGTATCCTTCAGTTTTAGTTGATATCATCGTGCAGCGACACTTCAATACGGTGGAGCAATTTGCTGACCGAATTCTGAATGACACCGGCCATCCCCTTCATAATGAGTTAATGGCTGCGAAATCCTTACGCCCCATGCGTCGATGCTTCCGCCACATCCCTTGTCGCACTTCGGCTTATCAGAATTCCATACTGCCATTTCTAGCCCGGTATCTCACCTGTAAAGATGCTGAAAAACAAAAGCTAAAACTTGATCTTGCACCTTAAAGTCCTTTTTTCTTCATATATAATTATGTCCACCTGTCCAATACCTGTTAATCTTTATGGTAATCACTGTGTACTGGAGGACCGTTTTTGCTGAAAGTTTTGAATGTTATTTTCAAAATAAAGCACTCCTCTCTCTTTCTCTCTTTAAAGGATTTTCTTTATTCCCAAATAATTTAAATCTGATCTCCCGTTACGTTGGAATTCAGAGTTTCCAGTCTGCAGGCTGTATGTTTTCCGTGTAAGGAAAGTCGCACTTTTTTGTACTCAATTAAGAAGAAGTCATATAGGGCTCATAAACTTTTTTAATAGGTGCGGACCCAGGTGGTCCACACTTCGGGGTTGGATCAGACTGGCTGATATGGTCAGATATGGCCATTTAAGTCTCCCTTGTCCTTGTCGGTAATAACATTCTGCCCATTTTATGTGCCGCTGTGCGGCTGCTGGTTGGGCTCGAGAGAAAATCCGTAAGGCACAACAGAACGAGTGAGGTCCGTGGCGCGATCGGTGAGCGTCCCCTTACCATTGTATTTACCGGATCGCAACCGATAGGACAGTGAGCCCGTGGCTCAGTGGTTAGAGATGTTGGACTTCCAACTAACAGGTCGTGAGATCGAGTCCCAGGTGTTCCACACTTCGGGATGGGTATGACCGGCAGACGACGGCTAGTAAGCCAGAAACGGCCATTCCAGTCTCCCTTGTCTTTGTCGGCAATAACATGTGGACCATGTTAATAAATGTGCCGACACGATCCCGTATGATGGGACATTTCACGGTTTTAAAAATCTCACGATTGGAAACTTTTTCCAACTAAAAGACATTCTTTCTCCAAGTACATCATTCGGAGGGGATATAATTTCCCGCTAAATGAGTAAAAGAAGGAATATTTTTATGCATGCCTTCTATAAAAGATATTTGAATTTATAAGAGCATCGAAGATCAGTGGGAAAAGCTCATACCACCTAATCAGTCATTTTCTTGAAGAGCATGGTTTATGTAGGCGGTCAGCAGGAGTCTCGCTCGAAAGCCGGCGTCCTGATATGATCGGAGCATCTTGGCATTATGCGACAAGACAATTAACAGGGCAACTTTAAGTAAGTATTCTTTTCGAATTGAAAAGGCGTTTCGGAGTTTCAGTTAAAATTTCATGAGATAGCACATTTACCGTAGGCAAAAACCCAAACAAGGATATCGCCGACAGTGTTTCTGCTGCGTCATGGTACGGCCACGAAGGGCTTCGCTTATCAATGGGTTCCGGTGCACTTCGCCAACATGCCTTCAGGTCGGTTCGTACCTGACTCCTAACCCTAACCCCTAACCTATAACCCCTATCCCCTAATCCCAAACCCCAACCTTAGCCCCAACCCCTAACCCCCAATCTTAACCCTTAACCCCAACCTCTAAATCTAGCCTCTAACCTTTAACCCCTAACCCAAACCCCTAACAGGCACGGTTACGAAATGAGACCTTGCTGTGCCTTCATTGCTAAACTGTCTAGTTTTCTGAGGAATAAATGCGGTCAGGCCTTTTCGGATTCAGCTCGATAATGTTTGAAATTCGGCTACTGCGAACGGCAGTCGGCCTTCCAATCCTGCTCGCCCACTGTGACCTCGAGGCACGGTGTCTATTTCGGGTACATCCACCAATGACCTTCTAATGAAGTAATTAAAACAACGACAATCGTAAGGGCAGCCGTCGGAGCCCCCCCTCTCCGGGCTTGACGACAAATGCATGACACGCAGAGGAGCAGATGATTACAACTTACCCTCTGAGTACGCAGCAATGTCACCGCCTCTTCTATATGACTGGCTTGGATGCCAATAGCGCGGGGATTGAGGATCACGATGTAACCACATGATCGCGAGAGTGCGGCTCTGAGAGAGACCTCAAACAGACGCATGAATTTGCGACCCTAAAAAGACAGAGAAGGCGGGTCAAGTGAACTGCGGGCTCTCAAAGTACCTACATGACGACACTTCACTCATCTTGCGGTTCCTCTATTAGGCATAGAAGTTAAAAAGAAAATTAACAGTCATTTTAATGTCAAGACCGGAGTGAGCTGAACATGTGGACTGGTCTAAATCGTCTGCTGACTAAAGATGGCTTCTGCGACAACAGTAGCTTACAGATAGAAGCGAACAGGCGAGTTGTAGGAAGCAGCTCAGAAGACGAAGATGCGATCACTGGAACAAGACATTTATTGGCCGGACGTTTCGGATTCTCACTCGAACCCATCATCAGAGACAGTCGCAGATAAGGAGTGCGGTACTTACAGCACGTGGCTGTCATGGGACCATATGCGCACTGGAATTAACGGAATCAGATGCTGATATTCAAAGAACATCTCAACGCCGTCTTCCCGGACATTTAATTTACGAAGGAGGAGAAGGAAATCAACTAGCTGGCCTTTCTAGACGCCCTTGTTTGGCGCAAAGATTGTGGTGGCCTAAAAACCAAAGTGTTCAGGAAAGCGACAAATACGACGCAAATACTGAGCTTCAGTAGCAACCACTCGATCAGTCACAAACGCAGTTGCGTAAGGGCGCTACACCGGCGCTTTAAGGCACACTGCAGTGAAATGGGAGACAAGGTTGCTGAATTACAATATCTTCGACGGGTAATGAGAGCTAATGGTTAGCCTCGCAACTTTGTCAGCCAGTGCATACAAAAACGATACCAGAGATCAAATCCAACTGGCCACAAATTTTGGCGGGCTCTTCTGTACGTGAAGAACGTCTCGAAAGCCGTCAGTTGTCTTCTCACTCCACTTGTAGTTGGGGTTGCACACAGGCTAAAAGCAACCATAAGGCGCCAAATCATGAGGCCAAAAGACCCGCTGCCACGGCAGGAAACGTCTGGAGTCGTTTACCGGATCTGGTGTAGTTGCGGACAAAGCAATTATGTCGGAGAAACTGGGAGATTACTCCGTACGCGAATTCCCGAGCACGCAGCAGCAGTGAGGCGGGGAGACGCTAGCTCTCAGGCTGCGGCTCATTCGACGGGACCCGGCCATATTTTCAAGTTTCAAGAGGCCGAAATCCTCGCAAGAGGTGACAATCGCGTGAGCCGCTGGCTGCTCGAGTCATGGTTCTCAGGCCCGCAATCCATCAACAAACCCAATGACCTCCCGTTACCGTATTCCGTGCTGAGATTTTCCCTGGGCAGCGGAATCAGTCACGTGGGGAGGGCGCGGGTAAGCAATTATCCCAGTGACAGTAAGCCAATTTGCCGAGCAATCGTAACACCAGCATCCAAAACGGATGACGAAATCGCCGCCGTTAACGACTCAGACGCGGAATGACAAGCCATCACCGCATCAATTACGACCCCAGCGGTGATTGCGAGAGCTGTTAATTGCAGTGTCGCACATGGTCTCAGGGCAACCACGTGCAATAAATACTGCACTCCCTGTGCCACCATCACCTTTATCTGCGAATGTCTCTGATGATGGGTTCGAGTGGGAATCCGAAACGTCAGGCCAATAAATTTTCTGTTCCAGTGGTCGCATCTTCGTCTTCTGAGTAGCTTACAGTTCGAAGCGTTAATTCCGCGTTAGTTAACAATACAGGGAAGTATGCAATGCTAGGTGCCATCATCGATGACAAGACTACAGGCCGACTCAAGGACAAGCCAATTAGTCAAATTAACCTGTTGTAATGGCGAAAAACTCACACAAGGCCTGTCAGCCCCAAGTAAATGTGCTAACTCGGCGTACTTCTGTTATACCAGCGAAATCGACTGTACTATGCCGTCACAAGTGCACCCACATAGCGAAGGGATTCAGTGCGACTTCAATGGACTTTTTGTGTGCACAAAGATGGCAGATACGGCAAAGGGCAGGTGAGTTAGTTTACGGTACGCAACCTAAAATGGCGTAAACAAACAATCGAACTCCCTAGGAAGGACGTTAATCAGTAAGGATTAAAGTCACATGCGCTTCGAGCTCGGTAATTGATGAATCCTCAGTGCAACAAACATGAGACCCTTCACTCTACCACAACGTGCTAAGAATCGTAGCTTCGAAGGCTAACTCGTTCCCCCCCCCCTCCATGGGAGTATTTTGAAATGACTGAAGGAGTGAGTCGGATTGCAGTGGTTCCTTCGAAATCTGGCCTCCGTGACCTACTCACACATTTGAGCTCCGAGTCGCCTTTACGTGCCGCTGTGAGGCTGCTGGTAAAGCCCGAGGAAGAGAATCCCAAGACAAAGCGGGATCGGTGCGCGTCCCCTTACCATTGTATTTCCCCGATTGTAACTGACAGGGCGAGTCCATGGCTTAGTGGTTAGAGCGTTAGACGTCTAACAAGCAGGTCGCGGGATTGAGTTTCAGGGGTTACACACCTCGGGACTGTGTATGGCTGGCTGACGAAGGCTAATAGTCCAGAAATGGCCATTCCAGTCTCCCTTGTCTTTGTCGGTGGTGCTATTGTGTTTGTAATATGCGCTGTTATGCGGCTGCTGGTGCAGCTCGAGAGAGAGCCCCAAGGCCCGGCGGGACGATTGAATTCCGTGGGGCGACCTGAGACCAGGTCCTGTGTGTAGCACGTGTAGACGGGTCGATCAGCCTTGTCGGGGAGGCGAGATCGTGGGTAAATGCCGCACAAGTCTGCCTCACTATAAACTACTCTACGCACAAGTCATCGCGCTGCCCACAGCCTGTGGGGCACGCAATAGAAGTCGTCGCCAGTCGATGTATCCACTTTGGAGGCTTGATAACGAGCCTATGTAGCAAGTTGGTGATATGCACGTTAGTCCTGCTGTTAAAGTCGTGGTGAACAACGACATACAACTAGTCAATGAGGAGTCCTTTTTTAACTTCGCTCCAAATCGAGACCTTAAAGATGATGGGCAGGTAGGAACACTTTACTTCCGGCCCCAATTTTTTTCTTAATGATGTTGCAGACCATAAACCCGCTAAGTCTTCACTTCGGATGTGGTTTCTCTTTACTACATTTTGAGGGGATCATTGGTTTTTCCCGGATGTAAGCTTCCTTTAAACATACTTCCCAGCCTGTTTGCAAGTGGTGGACCCGCGTGGAGGAAGTTCAGGATGCCAACGGCGGTTTTCGGGCCGGGTGTCAATTCTGAAATATTCGAGTCCTACGAAACATTGGGAGGAAGTGGATGTGATAGCCGGAACAAGAACTTCATTGGCCTGACTTTTCGGGTTCATGCTCGGATAATTCATGTCCAAGAGGTTGCAGTATTTATGGGAGGCAGTCATTATGTGACGGTATACTTAACAAAGCGGTGAACAGCAAGTACATCGAAGAATCCGGAAGACTGCTCTGGACGCGGATGGCCGAACATGCAGCAAAGGTGAGGCGAAATGACACCAGCCCCAAGCCGTAGCCCGCCTGACGAGACCCGGCCACACATTCAAGTTCGGCTCAACCTAAGTCCTCTAGAGAGGTGACAGATTCGTGAGCCGCGAGCTGCTTGAGTTGTAGTCCACTGGCCCCCAGTCCGTTAACAAATGCAATGAGTTGCCTGGACAAAATAATCAGTCACACGGGAAGCGCGCAGGCGAACACAGTTTCCAGCATCAGTGTCGGTAATCCGAACGACCGAATAATCATCACGCCAACGTCCAACACGGGGATGAAATCGCGGCGAGTAACGACTCAAATGTCGGTCATAAAGTAATTAACACACAAGGGCAACAAGTTGCGATGAAGGGAAAGCTGGCAATTTTGTTAGGTATGTCGTCAAATAGCGGCTGATTCCCACGAGCACTGTAAGGTCTTGTGCACGCATTACTCGTATCTGGAGTTATTTCTGATAATGATTTCGAGGGTGAAACCGAAACGTCGATGGAGTGAAGTTCTAGTTTTAGCAATTTGCAACATCTTTCGGACGCAAAGACGCAGTCAGGGGATGTTTACTGCCACGAAAAACCGTCACGACGTCTCGTAAGTTGTGGTTCAGAAGATTGACAATTAATGAAATAGCTTAGTTAGCGGATATCTTACCCGAGGACGAGTACGGTTGCAAATTACCTGTAACCAAAAGGTATGCGGAACGTTTGAGGATCTATTGGCTGGCTAATGACGCCAGTACATAGCCGCCGTGGGGCCACATGCGTACTATAATTACCAGTTCTTGTGATCACCGCTGGGGGTCCTAATTAAGGTGATGATAGTTCGTCAGTCCGCGTCAGAGTCATTAATTGCCGCCATTTCATCATCCGTGTTAGATGTTGATGCGATGATTTCTCGGCCATTTGGCCCACTGTCACCAGGCTAGTCGGGCGCCCGCGTCTTCCCCAGGTGACCGACTCCTCTGCTCAGGGAATGTTTTAGCATCGAATATGGTATAGGGAGGTCATTGTGCTTGTTGATGGATTGGGGGCCTGAGAATCATGATTCGAGCAGCTCGCGACTTACGCGATTGTCACCTCTTGCGAGGACTTCGGCCTCTTGAAACTTTAAAATATGGTCGGGTTCCGTGGAATGATCTGTTACCTGAGAGCTGGCGTCTTTCCTCCTCACCGCTGCTGCGTGTTCAGTCATGCGCGTCCGGAGTAATCTCCCAGCTCCTGCCCGCAACTGTACCAGATCCGGTAAACGACTCCTGACGTTTCCTGCCGTGGCAGTGGATCCTTCGGCCTCATGTATTGGCGCCTGACGGTTGTTTCCGTCCTGTGTGCAACCCCAACTCCAAGCGGACTGAGAAGGCGGTTGACGGCTCTCGAGACGTTTCTCATGTACGGAAGCGTTCGTTAGGATTTAGGGCCGGTTGGATTTGGTTTCTGGCTTCGCCTGCGTACGCACTGGTTGACAAAAGTTGCGCGGGTAGCAATTTATTCTCAGTACCCGTCGTAGGTGTTGCAATTTTGCAACCTTTTCTTCCGTTTAATTGCAGTGTGTCTCAAAGCGCCGGTATGGCGCCCTTACGCAACTGCGTTTGCGATCAACCGAGTGTTGAAATTTAGTACTGGCGTCGTGCTTATTGCTTTCCTGAACACTTTGGTTTTTAGGCCACCACAATCTTTGCGGCAGACGAGGACATCCAGAAAAGCCAACTGGTTGTTCTCTTTCTCCTCCATCGCAAATTGAATGTTCGGGAAGACAGCGTTGAGACGTTCTTTGAATTTCAGCACTTGATCCCGTTCGATGACGACGAAAGCATTGTCCAAATACGGAGCCCAGAATTTTGGTCTGTGATGTCGGAAAACCAGTGACTTCAACCGTTGAAGGACCGCTTCGGCTATGAGTCCTGAAATCTGTGAACTCACTGGCGTGCCCTTCACCTGCTCGTAGATTGTTCCGTCGAATGTAAAGTACGTCTTCAGACAGAATGAAGCTTTTGCTGCAGTGATCGCGTCTCCATCCACTCGATCGTTTAACAACCTGTGATTGCTGTAATAACAAATGCCGCATGCTTTGGCGAATATATAAAAAACCGTATACGGGTACCGACAAGAACAAGAAGGATCGAGACGGTCATTTCTGGCTTAATAGACATCGTCAGTTGGGCATGCCAGGCCCCAGGCCTAGATGGCCTGAGGTCTTTGACCATTGAGTGTTAACAAATCCATCGCTCCGCCGCGAGAATGGAATGAAGACAGTAGTTTGCAGTTTTACAACTTCAAGTAGGCGGAACATTCCGGTTTACTTTGAAAATGGTGGTTTCGTGGGTCTTTGTGTATGCTGTTAATTACGGCCTGAACTACTGGTTACTGAGAGTAGAGTAAAGGCCGTCTGCATATAAAAAGGAGGAAAAAATACTATGTTTGGAGCATTTTGTTTTCAACTTCCTAAACGGTTGCCAACATCCTCGGATTAAACGCACGGGCTAGCCTTGAAAAAAAAACAGTCTGACGACAACAGAAGATCGCGCACGTTCCTAGCAACCTGCTTTAAACGACCAGAAGCATAGTTTTTTACGAATTTTGTTCGAAGTAGACAAGAAAAGATCTTCAAAATATATTGACGTATTCTAAAAGTGATTGCGCCCTACCAGAAGGTTATCAAAACGAAGGTAAACAAAGTCCAGCTGCATAACTTGTAGGCAAGAATGTAATCACCACGGTTTTCAACGACGGCAGTCCAGGGGGAAGATATTTTTTGATCCCACGTTCCAAGAAATCCTTCTCATCGCCAACAAGACGTCTAGAACATTACCTTAAAATTCCTCCCCGTTTCTGAATGTCTTGCCTCCAATAATGTGCGCTGGTGATCGGGACAGATGGAAGTCCGTAGGTTCTAAGTCAGGTGAGTATGGAGGATGTGGAAGAACTTCCTATCCTATTGATTTTATCTTCGCCCGAGCTTACTTTGCGGCGTGTGATCTTGAATGGTCACGCTGGAAAGTAAACCTTCCCCTGTTTATAGTACGACACCTTAGACGTAATTTGTCTCATACACAGTCCCGTAGTTTACAATAGACATCTGCTGTGAGGGTCATCCACGTTCCGGTAACTCATTCCGAATGCTGTTTTTCATGTTTCACAGCACGGATTTCTGTGGATTGGGTTGTGGTTTTGGAGTTGACTCTGGCTTCATGCATGCAACAATGCAATACAGATAGACAGACTGTTATTCCCGGTTGGAAGGCCGTATAAGCTCAAGTGAAAGCCAAATTCCCACTTTGTCCAGTCCGCTTGAGATGTTTGTGGAATAGTGGACATGACACGGTAAACATTTGTGACCAAATCCCGGTCCGATTCAGTAGTCTCATTCGGAAGGTCGCCATTCAAAACAGTCATCAGGGACACTACAGTTCGTTGCCTCATATTTTCAGGCCATTACTTTCCAAACATCCCAGAGTCAACAGTGAAGTCAAAAATAACGTAAATTCTATTATAATGCGTAAGTCCGGGAGACAGGAGGTGAGTCGGTGTCCCTGATGTGACAAAAAAGCGCTACCATTCGTTGCCTGATATTTCTAAGCCATTACTTTCCGAACACCCCAATAAAAGAGCCCGAAACAAGTCAAGAGAGACAACGGTGAATGCGCAATTCCGGGAGAGGGGAGGTGAGTCGGTGCCACCGAGTGAGGCAATTTGTCCATTTTCGGTAATTAGTATTCTCAGGGGTCATTTGCCTTGCGGAGGACTTGACCGTATTATAATGAGTATGACCCAAGTTGAAGATAACAGAGGCAAGACCTAGTTTAAAAATTGCTGCTTATAGCGCGTGGCTCTACAAATGCCGATCCGTTCCCCGACGGAGTCAAACTGTACAATCGGACAATCGGTTGATATAGAAGCCGCACACGGGAGAAGTCGCCGCGACCCTCCCTTGGCACATGAAATGGGGAGCACGGGTGGCCATGACAGATCGGTGGATGTACTGTCGTGTGACACGGTGGGCTTCACTAGCGTGCCAGATGCATTCTGGTGAAGTGGCGATCGATGACGTAACCGCAGTAGCCGCACTAGACAGCCCTTCCACCCGCCGCCCACTAAATGGACATGTCTTCCTCGGTTTGGGGCGGCTGCCAGGGAAGCCAACTGCCGAAGTTGAATGGCCGGTACGTTGGTTGTTAAGGCACCATCGAGAGACTAAGTAGGAAGAACTAGAAGCATTGGAATGGTGTTTTTTGATGATTTATCACATAAGCAGAGCGCACATCAATCTATCGATTTCTCGAAACAAAATGCTCTGCATGGGTGGCAAAGGTCATAAACAGGCAACCAATTACCAGGCCGAAGTCCGCCAAGCCATAATAGCAGAGGTGGAAGGACGACAGAGAATGCGGGTAGATTGATGCAGTACTGTTTCGGGCTTATTGTGCCTTCATTCAGCCAATCATAACCCTGACCACCAGCAGCTGGGACCAGAAACACAAACACGCGCACAGACGCACCTGGCGCAGTTGGTCCACCACTGGGGTCTACCAGATGGGTCATAATCAATTCATCGAACCGAAGTTCATCAGTGCCTTGCCACCTGTCATTCTCTGTCGCTGCAGATCGGGTATTTATCAATCAGGAATGGGCGCACACCGATCTATTGGCTTCACAAAGCAAACAAGCTCCGTATGTGTGGCAAAGGTCACGAACAGGCAACCAATTACCAGGCCGAAGTCCGCCAAGTCATAATAGCAGCGAGGAGGGACGACAGAGAATGCGGGTAGATTGATACAGCACTGTTTCGGGCTTATTGTGCCTTCATTCAGCCAATCATAACCCTGACCACCAGCAGCTGGGACCAGAAACACAAACATGCTCACAGACGCACCTGACGCAGTCGGTCCACCACTGAGGCCTACCAGATGGGTCATAAGCACTTCATCGAACCGAAGTTCATCAGTGCCTCGCCATCTGTTACTCTCTATCGCTCTGCATAGGTGGCAAATATCACAAGAAGACAGCCAACTACCAGACCGAAGTCGACCAAGTTATAATAGCAGAGGTGAAGGGACGACAGAGAATGTGGGTAGATTGATGCAGCACGGTTTCGGGCCTATTTTGCCTTCATTCAGCCAATCGTAACCCTGACCAACAGCTGCAACCAGAAACAAAAACCTTTGCTCATACACGGCGCAAATGGTTCCTAATCGGGTTTTAGCCTGTTTACGCTTCTGATCCTGGCCGGAGGTTAGGTGTATGATTGGCTGAATAAAGGCAGAGTAAGCCCAAAACAGCACGTTATCAATCTACTCGCATTCTCTATTGTACCTCTCTCATTCACCATCGTAAACCGGTCATACCTTGGTCAGGAAGGCAGGCAGGCCAAAGAATTCAATCCGCACCAACCGTTAATTGTAAACTGTCTTACTACGTGCCATTTTTCGGCTGCAATCACGGGGGGAGGGAGGGATTCGAGGTCCCCTGGGGATGGCGATCATCGATGTTGTTTGCCCGTTGCAACTCGACAGCCTGCAAGAGCTCTAACGCTGAGTCCCGGACAAAAGCGAAACTGGGGATTTCTTCCCATCATTCAGGGCGCATGGGCGAAAGCCGCTTTTTAGGTCGGTCATGATATCGGTCTGTTCTAAACCGACTAGGATAACGGCAATTAAGTGGTTACAAACGGTCATCCTGGCCTTTGCAGTCTCTGCTTGTTAATCTCTCGTCGTATTTTGCTGAACGAAGTCCTGCGAGGGCTAAACTGAACCCATGTATTACGTCTTGCATTTGTCACAAGCTGGTGAAGGTCACTTCGGTTGGGCATCACGTAACAGTTAATGTGGTTTACTAGCATTACAGCTGCGTACTTAGTGGAAGTGTCAAGATGTACACTTCCGCCTCATGTGGAAGTCAACTTTTTTGTACGTCGGCGGCATATGCCAGTTGTCAGGACTGTACGTAAATGCCAATAAGTTAGATAATGGTTCGTTCAGATATAATAACTTGCAACGTCCAACTGCTATTGACCGCTGCGACTGTTCACTTTTGACCTAAAAACAACTTCCGAGCGTTGTTAGTCACCTCAACCGGCAGACGGTTCTGACCTTCAGTGCGGTCGTGACGCAAATGTCACGAGCTGTGTGCCGCACCGGCTAACGTCAAAACAAGTCGGCTTACGCCATTTAGCGTGACGTGCGCAGATTTCGATTCGCGTAATACGAGTCGGAGGTGAATTACCGTCGTAAAGGGATTAAGAGACGGTTTGAGTCGCGATGAGTGTGGGAACGAAGCACTAGAGATCGATACCTCCAGAGGGAATACTGAAAAAACATAGAAAGTCAACCCAAAATGACTGACAACGTGCCGTTACCACAACTCAAAGATGGTTGCTACTACTCTCAGACACGTCGCATTAACTATTTGTTGGTTTTAAAAGTCAACACAGCTTGCGACATTTGGCACGAGCAAAAGTGAGGGAGGCTTGTGTGACATTCTCTGGATTGTCTGCCGTGGACAGGTCCAAAACGAGCAGATGAAGTAGGCCACGGAGCATTTGAGTCTAACTTCACGATTTTGTCCGAAGTCCCCTGTTTGATTTCTCGTCCTGAAATGCCTACTTGTACTTGCACTCGGTACGGCTGCGATCACACCTGATCTACCCAGTCTCAATGACGTCACGGACTGTACCTCTCCACGCGTGAAGATCCGCGGCAGCAGATCTGGGCAGCTCAACCCATTCTCTTCGACAACGACGGAGACCGAATACTGAAGGTCCAAGAGCCACCCCCATGTTTTGACAAACTGAGTCGAACCAGATTTTGAGTTGACCTTCTCTTTGGCACCTTCAATGCGGTAGCGGTGCCGGATCGAGGACAGTAACACTGAGCCCCTGAGGAGACGACGAAGAACATGCCCAAACTACCTCAGTCGTTTTTCTTGGATGACCTGGATTATCCTTGCGATGTTGTCACAGTGAGTGCGGACTGTCTCATTTGAGACGAAGTCGGTGTAATTCGCTCGGAGAATAATCCTCAACTAGTGGTGGCCAAATACCTCCACTTTTCGCTCGTTCTCCACGGGCACAGCCCAGCATTCACAACCCTAGAGAAGGACTAACGGGACAGATGCACTGTACACGCGAATTTTCGTGGTAATGAAGGTATCGCGTCTGATCCATAGGCATTTTCTAAGGCTTGAGGAAACTCAGTGGGCAGCATCTGCCCATTCGACAGCAGCCTCGCCATGAGGTATTTAAAACAAAGTTGACAGCCATCAATCCCGAGAGGTGTCTTTCACTGGTCAGGGACGCAGCTCGGAAACACTAGTCTTTCCAACGTTTATGGATAAACCGACAGAGTTAGCGACCTCGTTCACCTGCGACACCATGGACTGTAGATCACCAAAACTTGAGGCAAGGCAATATCATCGGCATAGTCAAGATCAGTCAACCGGCGGCCGAGTGCAAATCTAACACCGTCACCTTTGTATAAGGCCCTCTCGAGAATCCAGAACGAGCGACAGCATACAACCCTGTCAAAATCCAGACCGAGCTTCAAACAACTGAAACCTCAGCAGTTGTCTATCAAATACGTTGTAAGGATGGAGATTGCAACTACGTTGGGGAAACCGGACGGAAATTGCAGACCCGCCTACATGAGCACAAACTGGCAATTCGGGGACTAGACTCAAACTCACAGCTTGCGGCTCACATCGGGAAAACTGGTCACAGTCTTGATTTTCAAGGAGCAGCCGTCTTAGGCAGGGGCACCTCAAGGACTGAGCGTCTCACACTTGAGGCTTGGTACTCAGATGCCAACTCCATCAACAGACATCTAGACCTTCGGCCTATAAAGTCCTACGTCATTACATACACCGTGACGAAGACATAACAATCATACTGAGCCTAAGAACACCGAGCAAACACGGCCTGTTGACCACTTGACCCAAAAGGGGAACGCAAACGCAACTAAACCCAATTGAGGTGACGAAACGTAACACAGGAGGCCACCAACACTCACAGGCGACGGCCAGTAAGCCAAGGCAGCAAAAGAAGAAAAACATCGATCAGCAATCCGGCAGTCTATTCAAAAATTCTGATCGATTTTTTCACTTGACGCCTTGACAATGGAGAACAGTCCCAGCTTTTCAAAACGTCAGCCAGAAAAGTCCCCCGATCCGGTGAGCAATTCATTTTCCTCGGAAAGAAGGCTGTTATGAACCAGACCTCGCGCAGTGGTGGGGCGGTAATAGGCCTTGATCATGGCGATTATTTTAGCGATACACAGTCTAGTGTCATTATCCGCCACAAGGACTCACGATGGAAGGTGTCGAATACAGCGGGGACGTCAACAAACCAGACAAACGTCAAGGCCGAATGTGCCCCACATCCACATCCAGCGTTGAGTCACCAGAGAAGGACAATAGCGAAGATCTTCGCAGCAACGTCGATGAAGCTTGTGTCGCGGTAGTTCTTGCATCTCGTCTCATCTTCCTTCTTGAGGACAGGCACGAGGATGCCCGAATCTGGGTCATCATGAGCGGTCTCGTCTCTCTACACTTGTTTACTCACCTCATGCATTCAATCAATGGCATAGCTGAATAGAATGTGCAACAGAATGAAACCCATGGGCTATAACTAGCGAGGTAGTTGAGCGGCAGATGGCCTTGATCCTGGCGATTATTTTGGCCGGCACACCGGCATTTTCTGCTTTTGTCAAAAAAATAATATACCTGAAGAGCGCAATGTTATTTTTAATATTTCCTTTACGTTTTCATTTCCACTAGAGTTCTTATTTGTTAGTGGAGCTATTGAGCCCATTAATTGGTACCGGTTTGCTAGTAGCCAGCGGTTATTCGTAAATCTCGACAATTTTCAACAATTTGTTTCCATCACCAGCCCCAGGGACTCGTGGTGGGCGGAGTCGAACGCGGCGCAAAGTCAACAAAGCAGACGGCCGTCGGTTGCCGCTTGCCACGACCGAATTCCTGAATGCGTATCAGTGTAAATATCTGGTTCACACTTCTATGTTCAGCTCGGAATCCGGCCTGGTTGGACCTCGTCGTAGACTCACGTACAGCCTGGAGTCACCTGAGGAAGATGACAGCGAAAATTTCCGCGGCAACGTCGATAAGACGTTAGCTCTCGCATGTTCTCACGTCATCCTTCTTGAGGACAGATACAAGGATGCCAAAGCCCCAGGCATTAGGACTTATCTCATCTCTTCACGCTTGTTCAATCACCTTATAGAGCCAATGCGTCAGAATGTTTACAGAAGACTTGTAGATCTCAGGAGAAATACCGACCCCTCTGGGTGCCTTATTGTTGTGCGGCCTCCGTATTATATCGGCGAATTCACTCTCAAAAGGGGGTCGCAGGATACGGAGGGATAAAACTCCGCTGAAGAGGAGAGCGAGGGTGTGATGGGTTGCTCATAAAAGTTAAAAGAGCGCTTACATTGCTCATGCGAGCGATCGATCTTGATCGAGATGTTAGCAATAAAGCTGCCGTTCGCATCACGAATAGAGTCACTCAATGTCGGGGCTTAGCAACTGCCTGACGGATAATTTGGTACAGCTTTCGTGAAGTACCCGGGACAAGTCGATGAACATCACATTCACGCGACCATCCACAATAAATCTTATTCAAATTAACTACCGTAGAGTTTAAAACAGAGGATGGGGTCACGCGTGGAGCGAGTTAAGACGTAGTGATTGACGGCACTTACATTGACGCATGAGTAAATAGACGCTATCGGTAAGACATCGCATTCATCTTCAGTCAGACGAAAATTGGTTGTGCTGCGAAGTTTGTCTGGCACCACGGGCCTTGCGGAGAAGACGGGTAAGAAGTAAAGGGCTCTCGCTACCACAAGGTAGCATACTAGTTGAAAAGTTGCGAATTCACACTTGGGCAAGACGATTAAAAATTTTATTGCCCGAATCATGGTTTCGGAGTTAGCGACTCCGCCAAGTATTGCGAAACACCATAACAGAACCTTGTCCGAGGATTGCACACAGCACTCGGTCAAAAATCCTGACGTGAAGCTTTTGGATAAAGTTAAATTATGCAGTACTACTAACCAGTTTTAGTTCGTTGGTGGATGGGCACACTTTCACTAGTCTAAAGCTACTGCACCTATCAATATCATAAAGATTACGGAAAAAACGTTCATCGCATTTTTTCATTGTATGATAATCGCTGGTAAATTACTACTGAAAAGTGTGCTGGAAGGAAGTTCAGAGGAATCTAAAAATGGGTTTCTAAAAATCTTGATGGCAATTAACCCGAAGATTTAAAGGTGGTGTTTAAAAAAGTACCGACGTACGGTGAGAGTAGTGTAGCGGAAATCTTCTACCAGTTGGTCAGGGTTCTTTGCTTTGGGATCAGAGACGGACCTGTATTTCGATCGTAAGAACCCTCCAAGACCCAAGCCTCCTGAGGTGTAGGTATTCTCGTTAAGGTTGTAGTAACGATCCGGACGAACCCATTTTCGACTGTTTGTAAAGTTGCTATGAATACGAGAAATCAAATCGCCTGACGGAAGAGCCGCTGATACGCCGTTGCCATCTGGTTCGGGCCATAGTTCCATGCATGTCTGGAGAGTTAGCGAGCGAAGGCAAGAAATACCGTAATTCTGTGGAGCGACCGGACAACATCACAAAAATCAGGAAAGGCCGGCCAATTCTGAAGAGGTCTTACGGAAGCCAGTTTTCTTAGATTTTTGCTGCAAAATCTTAAGATAAACTAGGAAACTAAGTAATTCAAACTCTCACAGACAATTACTCTTTTTACTAGCAATAAAAAGCCAGAATAAAACTATTGCTAAAGTGAACGATAAAGTCAACTCAGATAAAAGACTTGGGATGTTTGGGTTTGTTAAAAAAGTATTAATGAATGCATTGCAGGAACGAGAAAGACGGATAAACAAAACGTTGGCGCCGAAAGTCAACGGGACAGAGGAAAAATTTTGGGATTGGCATTGCCCTGCATAGTGCGCCCTCGTTTTAGCCATAAAAGAGATGCACACTAACAATCTGATTCCTACGCTGACTTCCTCATGCTTCAAGTGCTGCCGTGCACCCAAAGTGTAAATAACCTTTTCTTGGCCAACCATCAGTCCCTAGTGCAGCTTGACTTTTGCTTATGCAAAAACACTGAAGGGAAAGTTTTCTTTCGCTATTTTCCGCCATACGAAATGAAGGTTTTCTCCCCAATGACGCGCTGTGGCCGGCAGTCAAAACATAGAGAGCAAAGGCATCAAATCTTCTAAAAACGCTAGGAAATTTCAGCAACTGTCTATGTGAAGTCTAAGTTGGAGATAGTAAATGGCTTGTAAAAAGCATGATAATTCTTCAGTTAATCAAACGGACGACCTTAAAATTTTCAAGTGCACAACGTCTGTCAAGTCCTCTTGGGCTTTAGCGTTCATTGACTTGAAAGATCAGAATAAGTGTTAACAAATTATATGTAAGAAAATTTCACTGTATATGCTCACTTGGTCTTCACGAATTAATTGGGAAGTCTGGCGTAGGTTGAAGGCATTAGGAGACCATTACGCGACCCAACATACTACTTTACGACTTTCTAACTTGTTCATCAATACGTTAACGGAATAGATAAAATTTGAAGTAGATGATTTAAGAGTTCGAAGGGGCCCATAATAGTACTATTAGGCTGGGCTGGGCTGGTGCTGGCAGGGGTAGTACAGCTGACGTACTTTTGATGGAAGGATCTGGCCTCCACGTGAGATTTGGCGATGATCAGGAACAATATCGAACCAGTTAGTGATAGATGTGGCTGAAGAAT